GTGTTTTTTTGGTTTTTTTTTGCATAGCACTTTATGATTTTTTTTTTTACTTATTTTTATTGTTGAATGTATTACAGATGTTCCTCATTTTTCCCCCATTGACCTCCTCCTCCCCACTCCCGCCCCCCTCCTGCCTTTTTCCACACTGTTGTCTGTGTCCGTTGGTTATGCATATATGCATATAAGTTCTTTGGTTTATTTCTTCCCACCCCTTCACCTTTTTCACCCATTCCCCCATCCCCCCTCCCATCTGGTAACCAACAAAATGTTCTCTGTATCTATGAGAATGTTTCTGTTCTGCTTGTTCATTTATTTGTAGATTCAATTGTTGATAGCTATGTATTGCCATTTTGTTTGTTCATAATTTTTATCTTTTTCTTCAAGACCCTTCAACATTTCGTATAATAAGGGTTTGGTGGTGATGAAGTCCTTTAACATTTTCTTGTCTGGGAAACTAAATGACAGCTCTGCAGGATACAGTAATCTTGGTTGTAGGTTCTTGCTTTTCATCACTCTGAATGTTTCTTGCCACTCCCTTCTGGCCTGCAAAGTTTCTTTTGAGAAATCAGCTGACAGTCTTATGGCAACTCCCTTGTAGGTAACTAACTGCTTTTTTCTTGCTGCTTTTAAGACTCTCTCTTTGTCTTGAACCTTTTGCATTTTGATGATGATATGTTTTGGTGTGGGCCTCTTGGTGTTCGTCTTGTTTGGGACTCTCTGTGCTTCCTGGACTTGTATGTCTGTTTCCTTCACCAAGTTAGGGAAGTTTTCTGCCATTATTGTTTCAAATCGGTTTTTGATTTTTTTATTTCTTGTTCTCTCTCCTTCTGGCACCCCAAGATGCAAATGTTGGCACGCTTGAAGTTGTCTCAGAGGCTCCTTACACTATCCTCATTTTTTTGGATTTTTTTCTTTTTACTATTCTGGTTGGGTGTTTTTTGCTCCCTGATATTCCAAATTCATGATTTGCTTCTTGGCTTCACCTACGCTATTGAATCTGTGTAAATTATTCTTTATTTCAGTTAGTGCCTCCTTCATTTCCGACTGTGCACTCATTATTTCTGACTGGTCCTTTTTCATGCTCTTGAGGCCCTCACTAAGTTCATTGAAGTTCTCACTAAGTTCATTGAGCATCCCTATAAGCAGTGTTTTGAACTCTGCATCTGTTAGGTTGCTTATCTCCATTTTACTTAGTTCTTTTCTTGGAGTTCTGTTCTTTCATTTGGGACCTGTTTCTTTGTCTCCTCATTTTGGCCGCCTCCCTGTGTTTGTTTCTATGTATAACTTAATGAGAGGTATGGGGCTAGCTGAGACCAGATGCTGCTTATTTGAAAGAATTTAGGAAAACCTGAAGCAGGATCCAAGACAGGCCAATCCTATGGTAAAGCAACTGGCAACAGCTTGGGTGGGCCTGAAAGTTGGGTGGGGCGGGGCCTCAGGGAATCACCAGGGCGGGGCTACCAGTGTGAGCCAAGTTGCTGGAGTCCCAGATATGGCGGCTGTCTGCCACCCCAGGGAAGGACTCACCAAAGGAACAAAGGCCTCTGACAGCATGTCTGTCCAGGAGGAAACTGCCCCTCCAGCCCTCGCTCCAATGCCTAACAACTCAGTTCGCCCCTGTATGTCTCTGGTACCTTTCAAGCTGCCTCTCCCACGCTGGAGCCTGGAGTGTATGAGTCTGAGTAAGTCCATGTGCAAGCCCTTTAAGAGGAGCAGCCTGGGCTCCAGCCACCTCGTCCTCCCTGAGCCTCAGTTCCTGCTAGTTTTTCAAGCCAGAAGTTATGGGGACTTCTCTTCCTGGCATTGGAACCCTGAACGGGGTGCCTGGTGTGGGACAAGGACCCCTCAGTCCTCAGGGAGGACCTTCCCCGCCAAGGTGTCCTGATTTTCATCCACCACACGTGGGTGTGGGACAAGCCCGTCACATCTCCGCCCTTCCTACCAGTCTCGATGTGGCTGCTTCTTTAATTTCGTATTTGTAGGACTTCCATTCAGCTTGATTTCAGGCGGATTTGAATGATGGCTGTTCTATAGTTTAGTTGTAACTTTGATGTGGTTGTGGGAGGACATGATGCCACGTATACCTACGCAGCCATCTTGACCAGAACTCTCTCAGTTTTCATTTTGAATTTTTTTTTTTTAAAGGACATTTTTCCATTTTTTATTCAGACAGAGCGGGAGTGAGAGAGAGGAACAGAGAGAGAGAAAAACATCAATGTGAAAGGGACACATCGAGTGGCTGCCACCAGCACGACCCAACCAGGGCCAGGGACAAACTGCAACCGAAGTACATGCCCTTAGCGGAAACCGAACCCGGGTCTCTCTGGACCACAGGCCGATGCTCTAACTGCTGAGCCAAACCGGCCAGGGCTTGAACAAACTTTTTAAACAGTTGTTTCACATGACATAATAATGTATATTTTACTGAGAATGCAAAATTGTTTCAGTTGATAGTTACATTCTGTCTAGAACATGAGAAAATATAAAATTTCTAGTCCTGGCAAAGCTACTGCTGATGGCAAATATGTGTCCAAAACACCATTAGCTTTAAAGCTCCATATATTATTTTTTTACTGTAAAAGTTCTCTGTAATTTTTTTTTTTTTTTTTAATCCTTACCTGAGGAGATTTTTCTACTTTTCAGATGGAGTGGGAGAGAGAGATAAAATCATTGACATGAGAGGGACACACTGACTGGTTGCCTCTTACACGACCCCACCAGGGCCGGGCACGAACAGCAACTGAGGTATGTGCTTTTCGCTGGAATTGAACCTACGACTCATTGGTCCATGGGCCAACGTTCTACTCCTGAGCCAAACTTACTGGAACTAAAAGTTCACTTTAAAACCTCCATTTAACTAGCTTTCTGGGTTTATCCGTGGTTTCTGTTTCTCCTGAAAACACACTGACTGTTGTCTCAGCATGCAGAATGCTTGTGGCCAGAAAACTACTTGCTAGCTCACTGAAGCATTTCTGCTCTCATTAATTGAGTTGAATCGTTTTAGGTCATCTCCAACCTGATTATGCTGTAGTTGCTGTTGCAATTGCATCATTTAATTAGATGTTATTTAAATGAAAGAACTATAAGAAGAAGAAGAAAGAGAGGGAGGAAGAGAAATGTGGTTTTATGAAACCCAAGTTGAATGCTTTGGAAAGACTTGATAAAAAAGGCATCACTTAAAAAAAATTGCTGTCAAATTAGATGTAAGATCATTGAAAACAATTTGGGTGGTCCTGCCGCTGTGGCTCAATGGTTGAACGTCGACCCATGCACCAAGAGGTTGCCAGTTCGATTCCCGGTCAGGGCACGTGCCCAGGTTGTGGGCCCGATCCCCAGTGGGGGGCATGCAGGAGACGGCCAATCGATGTTCTCGCTCATCGATGTTTCTCTCTCTCTCCCTCTCACTTCCTCTCTCTCTAAAATCAATAAAGGGGAAAATTTTTTTAAAAAAACAATTTGGGTGTAAAATTGTAAAAATCTGAAAGAATTCTGCACACAGATTGTTTTGCAAGGACCCCTAATTTCTTGTTCCATGTGAATGAAACAAACTAGAGCATAAACAGAAATCTATGTGAGTGACTTAGTCAAGAAAGTTGATACGGATCCACCATCAGCTCATTCATAGTGTGAATGAAAAAAGGGGTCATATACTAAACCTAACAAGCTCAGAGGCTGAAGGTAACCACATAGGATGGTCTGAACATAAAAATTCCTAACTAAAAGCAGGTCATGCCCTGGCCAGTTTGGCTCAGCGGTTGGAGCATCGGCCTGCGGTACAGAGAGACCCGGGTTCGGTTCCCGCTAAGGGCACGTACCTCGGTTGCGGTTTGTCCCCGGCCCTGGTTGGTCATGCGGGTGGCAGCCACTCGATGTGTCCCTTCACATCGATGTTTCTCTCTCTCTCTTCCTCTCTCTCCCTCTCGCTCTATCTGAACAAAAAATGGAAAAATGTCCTCGGGTGAGGATAAAAAAAAAAAGCAGGTCATAGCGGATAGTCACATCCTAGACCTGTAGCTTCCTTGACAAAGGTCAATCTTTACTTATGTGAGCCTATCTATTGTCTTTTTGCATCTAAGATAACATGCCTAATTGTCAGAGTAATCTTTTACAACCCCACAGAGCACAACTTCACACCAGAGCAGAAGACCACAGAACCCTCATTGTTATCTTGTTCCCCAGTACCATCTCTATGTGCTGTAAATGTTAATTATCAGCTATGCTGTACCCTCCGATGTAAAAAAGGGTACCTCCTCATTGTACTCTTTGTCAAGTCCCAAAGGTTTCCCCGCTTTGCTCTCTCCCATCCCTCTAATCTACCACCAATGGGTTTCATATAAACCTACATTTCTTCTTTTATTCTAATGTATAAAATAAGCTGCAAGACTGTATGTTTGCACATATTTATCTTCCCACTATTACAGGATATTTCAACACTGGTCCTCATTACCACAAATGCAAGGGGATCTACTATCATAATCATAAAGGTCCCCTCATAAATTCAGGATTCATCAGAATCAGAGGAGGAGTGCTATTTGTCTTTATATGCCTAGTAATTAACTCAAAATTGATGCTAAAATTACATCTTGTTTATGGAAGGATGAAAGAAAGAAAGATAAGGGAAAGGAAGCAAAGAAAGTAAAGAAGATGGTCAGGGTTTCCTTTTAAAACTGTGCTGGTTTAGGTTTGGTTCCACTTTATTTTGTTTTTACAAATCTTTGCTCCACTGAAGAGTCACAAAGATGTTTATGAACAATATGCAAGTTGTCTCTAAACAACTCAGATAGGTCTTTGAGATACAGACTGCCGCCGGCATGAATTGTTTTATTTGGGGAAACAACGAGATTTACTGTAAGGATTCCATGGATTTTCCCAGAATCCTGCAGATTTCAGTGGAGCCCCAGGAATAAATCTGCATCTCTGACTCCCAGTTTTATGTTGCTTCCTTTACCCACCTCCCCACCACCTTTTTTTTTTTTTCTCACAGTAGACGCAGGCTACTCATGGAACCAGAAAATCAAACAGCAGTCTTAGAATTCCTCCTCCTGAGACTCTCAGAAAAGCCAGAGCATCATGCCTTCCTCTTTGGTCTGTTCTTGTCCATGTACCTGATCACTGTCTTTGGGAACCTGCTCATCATGCTGACCATCATCTCAGACTCCCACCTCCACACACCCATGTACTTCTTCCTCGCCAACCTCTCCCTCATTGATGCCTTCTTCTCATCTACCACTGTCCCCAAGATGCTGGCAAACCTCTGGTCCCAGAGCCGAGCCATCCCTTTTGCCGGCTGCCTTGTTCAGATGTATGCCTTCCACCTGTTCGGGAACATGGACAGCTTCCTCTTGGCCATGATGGCCATTGACCGGTTTGTGGCCATTGTCTACCCTCTGCGCTACTTGGTCATCATGAGCCCCCGTGTCTGTGGGCTGCTGGTCGGTGGGCCATGGCTGATCTCCAACCTCCAGTCACTCGTGCACACCTGCCTCATGGCTCAACTGACCTTCTGCGCAGGCTCTGAAATTCCCCACTTCTTCTGTGACCTCATGCCCCTGCTGAAGCTCTCCTGCTCCGACACACACACCAACGAGTTGGTGATCTTTGCTTTTGGCATCCTCATGGGCATCAGCCCACTCGCATGCATCCTCATCTCTTACACCTGCATCTTCTGGGTGGTCTTCAAGATCCCTTCTTCTCAGGGCAAATGGAAAGCCTTCTCCACTTGTGGCTCCCACCTCACTGTGGTGTCACTGTTCTATGGCACCATCTTCGCCGTGTACTTGCAGCCCGCATCTCCGTCTTCCTCCCAGAAGGACAAGGCGGCTGCCCTGATGTGCGGTGTGGTCATCCCCATGCTGAACCCCTTTATCTACAGTCTAAGGAACAAGGACATAAAAGCAGCCCTGAGGAAGCTCCTCAGCAGAACCACCTCTCAGTCCTAGGGTGGGACAGGTATTGAGCATCTACTGTGTTCCAGGATCACAGTAGGGTACCAGGGAGAATGAGATGCATGCCATCTCTGACCTCAAGGTGTTCAGAGTCTAGTGGGGGATAGAGACATGTAAACAAATTGTTACAATATGACAAATGTGTCACAAAAGGATGAATGAAGAGCTACAGAAACCCAAAGGGAGAGGCACCCATTTCTCCTTGATTTATCTTCCCTGTGAAGATCAAAGTATCAGGGAGAACTTTCAATTAGCTCTCTGCAGTATCAACCTTGTAGGATTGCTATGTGTATAATACTAGTCAAACAAAAGATTGGCTACTCCCATTTTAATGTTGATAAAGCCAGCTACCCTTGTGACTTGGGGAAGGACTTTGATAGTATCTAATTAGATTAGCTCTCTTGTGATTGGCTTCAGCATCCACCAGGTGTCACTGGGGACCTTGTGGCCATGACTTTAGGTGGGGATCATCGTCATCAACAGGACTTCCATGCATGCCACCCACCCTCACACTGGTCATAGGAGACCATGACACTGTCTCAGGGGATTGGGCGGTCACTGGACCTGAGAATCTGCCTTCTTCATGCTCTTCAGGTGGCTAATGTGGGGAGTTCATGGGCCACAGTTTGAGGACACAGGTCCTGGACAAGCTCCAGTGTCCATGTGTTTCCTGTGATGTCCATGTGTTTCCTGTGATGCCCATTACCTGACTCCAACCCCAATATAATTCTACAGGCATGATCAGCAACAAGCAGATAGGGTAGCAGGAAATTCACAGAGAATGTCCTCCCAAAAAGATATGTTGAAGTCTATCCCCCAGGACCTCAGAATGTTATCAAGGGTTCTGATCCAATATGACTACTTTATGACTACCTTATAAGAAGGAAGAATTTGCCCCTGCTGGTTTTGCTCAGCAGAGCGTTGGCCAGACCAAAGAGTCGCGGTTCGATTCCAGTCAAGGGTACATACCTGGGTTGCGGTTTGGTCCCTGGCCATGGTTGGGGTCATGCGGGAGACAATCAGTCGATGAATCAATGTATCTCTCTCACATCGATGTTTCTTTCTCTTTCTCTCTCTCTCTCTTCCCCCCTCCCTCCCACCTTATCTGGAAAAAAAATTAAAAATAAAAGAAGAAAGAATTTGGACACAGACACACACACCCAGGGAGAACACCATGTGAAGATGAAGGAAGAGATCAGGGTGATGCTTTTACAAGCCAAGGAATGACACCAATTGCCAGCAGACCACCAGAAGCCAGGGGAGAGGCATAGAACAGATTCTCCTTCAAAGCCCCCAGAAGGATCCAACCCTGCCAACAACTTTGATCTCAGATTTCTGGCTTCCAGAACTGTGACCAAAAAAATTTCTCTGTATAAGTCTCCCAGTTTGTGGTACTTTGTTACTCAGTCCCAGCAAATGCATATAGTTAGTTAGGAAAAACTGGCATTGGACAAAAACCATTCCCAGATATATCTTCTCAACTTCATGACCTAAGGAGTGTTCTGGTTATGGGGGTCTGGGCTGCAAATGGACAAAATGATAAAAGATTTAAGTGCATAAATTCATTTTCTGGGTCTCAATGTGATGACAAAAATAACACCAACAGCTGAGATTTATTAGTAACTGGCATGGGGCTAAGCCTTTAATATGCATTATCTCATTAAACTTTCAACAACAACTCTGGCTGGTTTGGCTCAGCAGTAGAGCCTCGGCCCATGGACCAATGAATCCTGGGTTCAATTCTGGTCAAGGGCATGTACCTCAGTTGCGGTTCATCCCTGGCCCTGGTCAGGGACATGCAGGAAGCAACCAATCAATGTGTCTCTCTCACAGCAATCTCTTCTCTTCTCTTCTCTTCTCTTCTCTTCTCTTCTCTTCTCTTCTCTTCTCTTCTCTTCTCTTCTCTCTCTCTCCCCCCCCCCCCCGAAAATAAATGGAAAAATATCCTTGGATGAGGATAAAAAAAAATTTTTTTCAACAACAATGCTTACAAGGTAGGTAATAAAACTCCTTGTTTTACAGATGACAAAACTGAAGCTTAAAAAGGGAAGCTGCTAATAAGTGGTACCTAAGGTTCATAACAGAGGGCCCACCTCAGAGTCCTAGGTCTTAATAACACACGATATTGTCTAGAATTCAATGCCTAGACCAGGGGCTGTAAACTCAGGCTCCGTGAGCCAAACCCAGTTTGCAGCCTGTTTTGGTACAGACTGCAAGCTGAGAATATTTTTTACATTTTTAAATAGTTGGAAAAATTAAAAGAAGAAGACTATCCTGGGACATTAAAATTATGTAAAATTCTAATTTTCACACCCATAAATAAAGTTTTCTGGGAACAAAGCCAAGCTCATGTGTTTATATATTATCTATGGCTCTTTCAAGCCACAAGGCAGAATTGAGAGCTCTTGACAGAGACCCTATGACATGCAAAGTCTAAAATATTTACTATCTGGCCTTTTACTGAGTTGGTTGACCATTTTCTATAGAAAAAGCAAAGCCTGATACTCATGTAGGTCAGGAATCAGAAGCATCAGCATCATGGAAGCTTGCTAGAAATGAAGGCTCAGATGCTGTAGCAGACAACTCACTGAATCAAATTTTTTTTGTATTGATTTCAGAGAGAAGGGGAGAGAGAGAAACACCATATGGGTCAGTTGCCTCTCCACATGCCCCGACCAGGGATTCAACCCACATGATCATATCACTAGATGCTGAAAAAGCATTTGACAAAATCCAGCACCCATTTCTGATAAAAAGGCTAAGCAATGTGGGAATAGAGGGATCATATCTCGACATAATAACGGCCATATATGAAAGACCTACAGCCAACATCATACTCAATGGGCAAAAACTGAAAGCATTTCCCTTAAGAACAGGACCAAGACAAGGATGCCCACTCTTGCCACTCTTATTTAACATAATACTGGAAGTCTTAGCCACAGCAATCAGACAGGAAGAAAAAATAAAAGGGATCCAAATTGGAAAGGAGGAAGTGAAACTGTCATTATTCACAGATCACATGATACTGTATGTAGAAAACTCCAAAGACTCCATCAAAAATTTACTAGACTTAATAAATGAATTTGGCAAAGTAGAAGGATACAAAATTAACATCAAGAAATCGACAGCATTCTTATACACCAATGATGAACTCACAGAAAGAGAAACTAAAAAAAAAAAAAAAATCCCATTTACCACTGTAGCAAAAAAAGTAAGATACCTAGGAATAAACTTAACCAAAGAAATAAAGGACCTATTTGCAGAAAACTACAGGCCATTGAAAAATGAAATAGAGAGAGATATAAAAAGTGGAAGCACATACCTTGTTCATAGATTGGAAGAATTAACATCGTTATAATGTCCATACTGCCCAAAGCAATCTATAGATTCAATGCAATCCCCATCAAAATACCACCAACATACTTCACAGAACTAGAACAAATACTTCAAAAGTTCATAAGGAACCAACAAAGACCTCGAATAGCCACAGCAATCTTGGAAAAGAAGAACAAAGTAGGAGGGATCACATTACCAGATTTCAGTTTATACTACAAAGCCACTGTAATCAAAACAGCCTGGTACTGGCACAAGAATAGTCATATAGACCAGTGGAACAGAACAGAGAACCCAGAAATGGACCCAAGGTAATATGCTCAATTAATATTTGACAAAGGTGGCAAGAGCATACAGTGGAGGAAAGACAGCCTCTTTAATAAATGGTGTTGGGAAAACTGGACAGCTACATGCAAAAAATGAAACTAGACCATCAACTTACACCATACACAAGAATAAACTCAAAATATATAAAAGACTTAAATGTGACTCATGAATCCATAAAAATCCTAGAAGAAACTGTAGGCAACAAAATTTCAGACATCATACGGAGCAGAATTTTCACTGATACATCACCTAAGGCAACAGAAACAAAGGAGAAAATGAACACATGGGACAACATCAAACTCAAAAACTTCTGCACAGCAAAAGATACAATCATCAAAATGGAAAGGCAACCCACTGTATGGGAGAGCATAATTGCCAATGATGTATCAGATAAGGGGTTAATTTCCAATATATATAGAGTACTCATACAACTCAACAAAAGGAAGACAAAGAACCCAATTTAAAAATGGGCAGAGGAACTAAACAGACACCTCTCCAAACAAATGGCTAAAAGACATATGAAGAAATGCTCAACATCACTAATCATCAGAGAGATGCAAATTTAAAAAAAAAAAATGAGGGGGGAACTTCCAGTCAAAATGGCGGCGTAGGTAAACGCGGTATTGCGTCCTCCCACAACTACATCAAAGTTACAACTAAACTCCAGAACAACCATCATTCAAAACCACCTGAAATCAAGCTGAATGGAAGTCCTCCAACTACAAAATTAAAGAAGCAGCCACATGGAGACCAGTAGGAGGGGCAGAGGCAGATGGGCTGGTCCTACACCCATGTGTGGCGGAAAAAATCAGGAGGATACCTTGGCTGGGAAGGTCCTCCCTGAGGACTGAGGGGTCCCCGTCCCACACCAGACGCCTCGCTCAGGGTTCCAGTGCCAGGAAGAGAAGTCTCCATAACTTCTGGCTGGAAAAACCAGCAGAAACTGAGGCTTAGGGAAGCTAACGCGGCTGGAGTCCCAGGCAGCTTTTTAAAGGGTCCATGCACAGAAGTATTGGACTCACTCCCTCTAAGCTTGGAGGGAGGCAGCTCGAGGGTCGCCAGAGACATACAGGGAAGAACTGAGCTGTTTGGCACTGGAGTGAGGGCTGGAGAGGGGGCTTTCTACAGAACAAACTTGCTGTCAGAGGCCTTTGTTCCTTTGGTGAGCCCTTCCCTGGGGCGGCAGAAAGCCACCATATCTGGGACTCCAGCAACCTAACACTGGTAGCCCCGCCCTGGTGATTCCCTGAGGCCCTGCCCCACCCAACTTTCAGGCCCACCCAAGCTGTTGCCAGTTGCTTTTCCATAGGATTGGCCTGCCTTGGATCCTGCTT